TATCTCAATCTTAAAAGAGGTGAGTCGTTGCTAAAATACCTTACTGATGACGTTCTGGATTGTGAAGTTACATGACATTGAATCGAGTGCGCTAGGGAGCACACTTGAGATTACAGGCACACCAATGTGACGAGTGTAAAATAGCTCGAAACACCTACTTCCAGGGTATCCTATCATCTACCTTCCCCCAAATGCCCTGGTACAGTTGAGAGTGAGGAGGGCCCGCGGGAGTGTTGTTTATCGAATTAAGAGCACGAAAAGCGAATGTCCGGCGCTTTAACCGAGTTTATGAATATGTAGGATCCACATAGGATAGTTGGAAAACCCGCACACCAAACCAATGGTGCACATGGGCTCCAGTACCCTGATGGAAAGAATGGCGTATGAACCAATCGTTGGTCACTGGCTAATATGTGACTGCGTGTCCATATGTTGCTCCACTACCTTGTGAATCAGTCTTATAGGTCTAAGGCTGCGTGTTTGACTTCCGAAGAAAACCACCTGCTTCGGTCTGGGCACCCGGGCAGCATCATAGCCCTCACACAATTAATATGAAATGACGATTTTTTTGTGTGGCGCGTATATATCTGGTATTTCTTTTTATCAATATTTGTGTATTCAAATAAATAAATAAATAAATAACCCTAAACCAGCTGTAGTGATATTCATTATCTGGCATTTACTTTATTTTTAAACAGTAAATTGACTAGATTACTTAGATTTAAATTAAATTTCACTCTTATATACAGTAATGCTTATGCGAATAGATGTTCGTTTGTCTTCATCCGCCTTACTTGTTCATTATTCATGCATTTGTATTGATTATTTGCACAATTAATGTTGCATAATTTTTTATACTTGATTTCCATATTATTATGTTTAACTTCTGCTTAGACAATAGCGTCCAGCGGGAGACTACCAGTAATCAGTAAAAATAATTTTGATGTACAGTAAAAGTCTAACCGAAATATAATAGCTACTATAGGGCTGTTAATTACTAATAATTTTTAATGGGTAGATTTTTAACATAAAACAATAGGAAATGTTGATTAATGTAAACATAATACATGGTTGCTATATTTTCTTGTGTTGAATTCAATATAAATATTTATTAACACTGAAGAAGTGGATCAATTAAAGTCACAAAAAGTTAAAAATTAAATTTTCTATTCATTTGGATACTTAAAATAGTTGAGATCATGAGTCAATTGAATCTAGACCATCATAGAAAACCTGGAAGCACTAGACGGCCGTTTCGTACTATTATGGGACACCTCAGCAGTGCACATCCACGATCACACCTCGCGAGATTCGAACCCAGGACCTACCGGTCTCGCGCCAGAGCACTTAACCGATAAACCACTGAGTCGGCCTGCATCCGACGGTGTTAATGTCTAACTTCAACCAATCCACGAAATTGAGTGACACATCCACCGTTGTCTTTAGTGGGTTGACATCTCCCAACAGACCAGGCATCCAACGGTGTCCAGTGCTTCCAGGTTTTCCCTGTGGATCTAGCTTCAATTGACTCATGATATCAACTATATAAAATTGTCAAAATCTCCACGAAACCCCCTTCTGATAATTGGATATAACAAAAAACATATTTGTAGGTATCATTACCAAGTCTTGATTTGATAATTTTGAATAAATTGAGCATTGGGTAGATTGTTTTAAATAAATTATATATTTGTAATATCTCAATGAGTAGAAAAATTAGTTTTTCTACTAATCAGTCATTGATCACCGGCTACCATGGTACTGCATCTCCTCACGATGCTCTACTGCCTTGTGGACTAGACCTTCAGGTCAAAGGCTCGGGGTGTGGCCCCCTAATAAAACCACCTGCTTCAGTCTGGGCACTTGGATAGTACTACAGCCTTCACACAAATCAAAAGAGATTCGTGAGGCGCATATTTATCTAGTGCTTCCTTGTACCAATATTTATGTGTTTAAATAAAATTTTTAAAAAAAACTCATATACATATCATACATTTCAGTGAAAGCAATTATTTTACATGTTACATAAATGTTTGTTAACTTTACGCATCCTTTACAATCGACTGCATCATGAAGTGAATTAGAGTTAAACTTATTGCCTTAAAAGTAATGTATCTAAAGTAGAATAATTCTTATTTGTAAAGAAAAAAATCATTCAGTGAAGTGTAGTATTACTAGCAAGTATCGTATTACATCACTGATAAAATGATTATTGTTGAACTTTAACCTTTCACTGATTAGATAACATATCTTCATGGTACTTTTACAAAGTAAGAGAGGCTATTATTAAAAATTCATGTCTGGGTAAAAATAAACCGATGCTTAGCGTTCCATCAAGTCACTTTTTTATATCGAAAACTATGTTTTATTAGTGAAGATTAAAGAAAATTTATTACTTACTTAAGACTGTTACCACCCAATAGAGCATAGACCGCCGATCAGCATTCTCCAACCCACTTTGTCTTCCTTTCTAGTTCTATCTAATTTATATATAAATCATTATTAATAAATAAATGCGGGGTGTAAATGCTGAAGTCTTTATTTGCATAGATATCTTTAGAGTGAACATTCAGTAATGACATCCACTTATAGTTCCTTTACTTAGTACTTTCAGATTATGTCCCAACTATTAAACATTGCTGAAGAGTCCCATACTAGGATGAAACGACTGTCTAATGGTTCTAGATTTTCATTACTTATTTAACATAAGTTGGTTTACGGTTTCGATGAAAATTTAAAAAAATGTATTCCTGAAGTTGAATCCAATTGTTTACACTTTTAACATTTTCAGATAGCGAGTTGCGTATTCAGTATTATAGATGAGTGTTTACCATATGTATGACTTGATTGCATCTACACTTTAAGGATTGACGAAAAACTAAATGTGAATCAGTTTTCCGGCTGTATAAATCCTCGGTTGTGTTGTCATGGTTGAACAATAACCAGGAGTAGAGGGACAGAAGGAAACAACTAATGATTCCTGGTTTTTAGTAATTTTTCTGCATAAAACGTAACACTATTCCACACAAAATATTTTGAAAATTGTGTGGTTTAATTAACAGACTTAACTTAGTTAGGTCTCTCTGTGGTCTTAAATGCATGCTCCTGATGTGTCCCATACTATGCCGGAACGTATCTCTTGTGCTGCCTCAATTTTGATGATTGTCCAACTGACGTCAGTTCCTTATGTAAATTATTAAATTCAGCGGTCTTCATTGGCCTCGTCTACTAATATCTTTTAAACTATCCGGTTATATCTGAGTTTATGAAGGTTGAACTTGCTTTAACAACTGGTAAATAATTCATATTTGACGTTAATAGGTTGCATTACATGGTATTTTTAACATCATTTCATCAAATGGCTTATCCAATGATTTGGTTGTTTTAAAAAGGGACTTCATTTAAAACAGTCATTAAACAATGTGGTAAACTAAAAAAATTTATCTTCCACTGTTTATGAAGCTTCTGAATATTGTGGAATATTGTCAATTTTTTATATCGAGTGTTTGTTCGATGATTCATTTATCTGCAACATATTGTAACACTTCTTACGTTGATTTATATACCACAAGAATTCTTTAAAATGATTTACAGAAGCCAAAATGTGGGTGACAGTATTTCGATCAATCAGCACATAAATTGTTAACATTGTCGAGTATAATCTGGTTATATACCATGCATTGATTGGATCATTATCTACTCTATTACTTATCATGCTTATCATGTTTACAGTTTCCAAAGTTTAATGATTATCAATAAACCTATAATTAATGTAGTTTGTTTTAACATCTTGACTTAAAGATTCGATTCTTATTTTCTCATGTTTTCTTTACTGTTCAAGTTCAAATGTAGGTTTAGTTTAGGGATATTGTAACAAACAGTTAGTCAGTAGCAAAAGTTTAAATAGAAGATATTTAAATATCACGTTCTATTTGAATGAATATTCATTCTGTTAAATCGTGTGCGTGCCCTGTTAACATTTGAACGTTATAAGACCGCCAATAAGAGAGCAGTGAATTTATCGATCGCCCGATGATACGAAAAAACCGTATGAGCAGTCTTGATTTTTTGTCAATCCTTCTTTCTGCCTAGCCCAGCCACTTAAGTCCAGAACACCAATAATAGCATCTTCAATATGAATAATTATTCACAAACATACTGGGTTTATATACCAAACAAACAGACCACACTGTACCACAGAATAGAAAATAACATTTGTACAAGATTTAGCTAAATGTGTCTGTGAATAGGGAGAACAGTAATTAATAGACTTGGTATAACTCAAGAATAGTAAATGGTGTAGTAATACTTCATAGGTCAAAACAAAGCTTATAATAAGAGAAACACGAATACAAATAGCTTAGTTCCTTAGCAATTATACAATAGGAAATATACATATCACATCGGTCCATAAATAATCCTCAAGAGTTACGATTCACAATTCTCTTCGGGATACAACACATTCAGTTATCAGTTGATTGATAAAAATCATATTTTTAAAACTAAATTTCTTTTTAAATTTCATTTTGAATTATGCAATATTTTAAACAACAAACATCATATTTGATTAAACAGTGTGCTTTCTTGTTCTCCGATGATGGGTTAGCATTTTTTTTTAGCGAGTTAGTATTTTACGAGGTAGGGTTGATAACTCCATGCCCAACCCTTCTCTTTTATCCAAGCTTGGGACTGGCAGTAGCCTCCGGAGGAGTTACAGGCGAAGTTCTCCGATGATGGGAGTAAATTTGTATTCCTGTCATACTTAGAAGTACATAATACAAATAAGAGTGTACTCGTTTCAATGATGTAATTCTTAATTCCGTATGATTCCTACATTTTCTTAAGGATGTGTATAATCAGCTTGAATGACCTATTCTAAGTAAATATACATATATAAGAAACAATAGATACACAACAATTGTTTTGTTTATTTTCTGCATTTTATCAGTATAATTAATCCCTTTTTCTTTACTTATATTGTTCATATTTTTCTTGTATAGAAATGTGGAGCGAAAAGAAAGTGTTCTGTTTGTCACATTGTTTGTCATGTAAATTGTCTTCCATTGGTAAGTGAATTCATTTTAAACAATAGTAATAATAATATTAGTAGTTTGTCAGATAAACTTATTTGTAAACCGACTTTACCTATGGGTGGCATCCATTCTCTGGTTTCCTTCATCCATGATATTGATAGAATTTTACTGAATAAGTTGTGAAGTAACCAGAAGTGCATAAGACCTAGTATCTCATGCACTGTTTTTTTTTTAATGTTATTAGTTGATAGGGGTACAACGAGAATACCTAAACCTATATTATATAAATTCACATCCTATGCTTAATGTTCTCAAATACACCCATGCTAACGACTTATAACTGAGGTTAAATTTAAGGCTAACTGTAAGACTATTTCTAATTAATTGAAACGTAAACATTGTAAAACATCATACAGAATTAATTTGGTTTCGACAACTTTACTAAAATGATCGATAAAACTGTATCAACATAATTAACTGATTAAACACCGGTATTTATTAACTAAACAGTAATTAAGTAGTGTAGTATTAATATTTATTTTATTTTATTAATTTATTCAAATTCAGAAGCACACTTCTGAGGACTATCCTACTAGGACGAAACCGAAGTACATTGCATTCAGTTTTTACAGTTGTTGTCTAGTTAAGATCACTTCATGACTTAAAATTACATATTTAACAGAATTTTGAGGTTCATTCACTTTAAATAGTTGTTCTCAACAAGTAAGATCAGTTAGTCAGTTAGTCAGCCACAACGTAGGACCGGGCACATTAATGCATCCGTTCAAGTTGCCATACCTCGTTAGCACAACAAGATGAACACCAGATTCATAGAGATAGTAAATCTAGTGGTGGTAGTATATAAAAGATAGGTTGCTGCTACCTTGACGTGGTGGTCGCGCTTGCCTATCGTGATGAACCAATCGAGCCATACTGGCTGGAACAATCGTTCCTCAAGGTCCTACCATGCCAGACAGGTCGGTTGAAGAGTGGTGAGACTGAAAGCAACAAACCCAAGGTCTGAAGGCGAAGTCGTAGTACTGACTGTACAGAGGTGTAACAACAGTAAGGTGTTTCCTTCAGACAACCAGCATAACAGCGATACTGCCTTCCCACAAGAAGTGGTGGGGTTAGAAAAGGTCGACCCTAAACATGCACACCTCGCCTTATCCCTCGGATATACGTCTCCGGTGGTAAGGTCGCCACAAGTACAGAGCTAACACAAAAACTACCCACAAAAATGTCGTGTTTGACCGACCTCAAGCAGTTGTCCCTTGGGCACTGCGGTCACACTCTCAGGTCATTAAGACCACTCCTAACCCGATTTCCTTTTCACGTACCTCTAGAAGAACCCTTCCATGGTGTGGGCAACCGGGAAGTGATAACTGCCCTCATACCTCTAACAGCACTCAAGACTACTGTATTCAAGATCGGTTAAGAAAATGAAATACGCAATAATGATGACACAGGTCGGTTTTCATGTTATCAGTTGTCGGCTGAAGATTAAAATTCGCATGTCAGTCGAAATTTACTCATAGATTTAAACCTAACGCTGTTACAATTGGACCTAAATGTTCTTTGTTCATTCCATGTAGTAGTAAAGGTTGTGAATCGCTTAGTAACCTAAAAACTAGATACTTATTTTATGTTCTCTGCTTTTCAATGATGACCTAGTTGTTTCGGTCAAGTAGCCAAAAAACATTTTGAGAAAATATAGCTTGAACGAAAAAAATTGTTTCATTTCTATTGACTTTTCACTATAACCTGACACTAATATATAGTTTTACCTATGAATATGAAATCAATAATGCTGGTGAGTATACTAACCCAATGATAAAAAAAGTAAACTGGAAGAAAATCGGATAATAAATTGGGAGCAATATTGATGAACCTTACTGTTCAATTCATCATACATATCAGGAACGGTGGGAAATATTTTTTTTAAAAAAAAGTCAAAATGTACTCTAAAATTGGTATAAGAACTTTCGTCTAAATTAGAGTGAATAGTATCACGGTATTTGAGCGCTAAGTTGATGTAAGACATTCAAGAGGAAGAATATGTATTTTTAAAATCTCAGTGAATAAATTTGATGTAAATCAAACTTTTCGACTGGTAATCTGGTCCTAGCTTTTTCAACGAAATATAATCAAACATCAAAATTATCATATATATATAGGTACATGGTTCTCCGGGTTCATTGTATACTGAATAGGTCATCCAATCAGCGTTAAAAATGTCTAAACTAGGTGAAATATACCTACCAGATTGCTAGACGAAACGTTAGGTTTACTTCAAATTCATTCGCTGAGATTCACTCTGTTCGTTTTGTTATGTACTTTATAGACAGAATATTATTTTTAATTGATTCAAATAAATGAACTTTTTTCCATACTTTTTAATACATCTCTTTGAATATTCATTTTACTATAAAACCCCTTCTGATATTATTCAACATATGCTCACTAGTGACTGGTTTCAAGACGTATTTCCTGGAGTTCTAGTGAGAAGCAGTGACCATTAGAGTTCAACCAAGTCTGTTGTGAGATAGTAACTCACTGAATACATTGGTGGGTGTATCACTCAATTTTGTGGTTTGGTTGAAGTTAAAGATTAACACCGTTGGATGCCGACTCAATGGTCTAATGGTTAAGCGCTCGCTCGAGAGACTGATAGGTCCTGGGTTCGAATCTCGCGAGGTGGAATCGTGGATGTGCACTTCTGAAGAGTCCCACAATATGATGAAACGACCGTCCAGTGCTTCCAGGTTTTTTCTGGTAGTCTAACTCCGATTGATTCATGATCTCAACTGTTAAAATTATAAAACATTTCTCAATGTATACTAATTTTCTTCCTGCCTTGTCAGTTGTACACAACCTTTTTTCATTTTATTTATAGTTTAGTAATCATTATATTTTCCATTTATTTTAATGGTGATAACCTTTTTTCAAACCGACCATCCATACAGAACCAAATGAAAAGAAAAATAATTAAAACCTAATCACATTATGTAATACATTTATGAATTATTTGAAAGCTTTACACAATTAATAAACATTTAAATTATATAGATACAATTAGAATGGTAACCATTAATTGTTCATTTGAAATAAAACGAAAAGAGAACAAAATAAAATCAACTTTAAAAAAAAACATGTTGGTCGGTAATTACTGGAGATACTGGATAATTGTTACGTTCTAGTGTAAGATTCCACTGAAGTATGTGTCGATGATCCTTATAAGGAATTTAGTCAAAAACCTTCAGTTCTATCATTAATGAGTAGTTAAGTTTCAAACTACCGAGTTTACATTCAGTTGTCCACTTTACTTACTTAATTACGCTTGTTACCCCTGGTGAAGGAGCAAAGGCCGCTCACCAACATTCTCCGTCCAACTCTGTCCTGGGCAATTTTTTCCAGTTCTTCCCAGTTAGAATTCATTCTTTCCATATCTGCTTCTATTTCCCGGCTTAATATGTTCTTTGGCCTTCCTCTTTTCCGCTTCCCTTCTGGATTCCATGTTAGGAATTGCCTCGTGATGCGGTCGGGTGATTTCTCTAATGTATGTCCACTTCCAACGTCTTTTCCTAATTTTTTTCTTCAGCTGGAATCTGGTTTGCTTAATCTTAATCAACCATTTTTTATCGCTATGGGAGAAATCTGGCTCATACCCCACACATATATATTTATATACACTCTATTGGTCAGTAACCAATGCTATACTTGCTAAGTTCCCAAAGATAATAGGTACACCTCGCTGACAAATGCCAATTAGCATGAAAAGTAGATACATGATTTCCTACTGATTATTACTAGTTATCTAATATTTAATAATATTTCTATAATGTTTGTCCTTAAATATAAAAATTAATATCTCTTTTCAACGTTTCTTGGACGAATAAAATTCGTACCAATATCACCGTGACAACTTTGATTAAATTTTGAAACATGAAAATAACTCGATAATATCGTATCATCATTTATTAGATCTATGTATTCAACTGTTGATACAACTCACAGTTTATATTATACTCATTAACACATTAGATATAAGGTAAGTGAACCTCAAAGAAGCTGTAGTGTCGGTTGATATGTTAAGCCCATATACCCTTATTTGCCCCCAAATGCCCTGGTACAGCCGAAAGTGGGGAGAGTTCGCTCTCCCTCTCGAAATGCTCTCACACGGACATGCGTATAGTACCTCTGTCGGGGAAGTCCTACTCATTGCCTTCTCGTGGCACCGGTGTTGCTTACGAAGTTGAGAGGATGAAAAGCGAATGTCCGGCGCTTTACCCGGCTCGGTGCACACGGAAAGTTCAACTAGGGGAGTTGGAAAACCCTGATTGCAAACTAATGGTGCACATGTGCTCCAGTATCCTGTAGGAACAAATGGCGTATGAATCAATCGTTAGCAATCAGCTACCATGGGACTGCATTTCCTCACGATGCTCCATTGCCTTGTAGGTTAGACCTTTAGGTCAAAGGCTCCGGGTGTGGTCCCCTAAGAAAATCACCTGCTTCAGTCTGGGCACTTGGGTAGTACCACAGCCACAAATCAAACGAGATTTGTGAGGAGCATATATATCCGGTGTCCTTTTGTACCAATATTTATGTGTTTAAATAAATAAATAAATAAGCCAATATACCTATCCGTCTTGAGTCATGTTTTCACCTTGTTAATTATTCACTTATTAACCCTGACTATTTTTTATATGAGCGTATGTATGTGTAAACTTCTTATCCTATTTATCACATGTGTGTCATCAAATTTTATCTGAGTATAAATATTGATTAACGCTTGATTACCCGCCATCTCCAATGCGTGTCATTTTCGTTTTGCTCTCCTCTATCCGCTTCATCACTCTGATTTCCTGTCCAGATCAACGAATGTACAAAATATATGTATTCAAAATCCATTCTCGTATTTGACTTATTTAACTCCGTTATTCACCAACTCGGATTAAGTAATGTATTATATGTGAGGATAGATAGGACAACAATCATTCATACGACGAAATTGGGAATCAGATCATGGCCCTTTTAAGTGTACATTTCAACATGGGCAAAAAAGATATTTTCTTAAGAGCTATCCATAGTTTCAGTCCAGTTACGTCAATTTGACTTTAGTCAGTCTTATGAACTAAGACTATATACTTATTAATCCTTTGTAGAACTTCATTCTTTATTTGTATTTTCTTTATAGGTTCAGGTATCTTGTAGACCAACATTTCGTGAAGCATTTATTCATGATTATCGTACTGAAAAAACAGTAAGTAATTATATCTTATTCATTCTTTATCTATATGTTCCTTTCCTCCAATAAATGAAGTTTATGAAGATTAGTTCACTGTGGAAATGAGTCTGAATAGTTTATCGAATAATGAGGATAGAGAAGGAATAGGTGTGACCATTGTTTTAAACAATTAATCTGTTAAAGATTCGAAATGATTACATAAAAAACAAGGTTGATGAAAGGTTACATCTGACGTGAGCTAAATGACTAGAGAAGAGAGAAGTAAAGAGAAAAAGGGGTACAAACGTTTAGTGGATATAGTGATGTATTTTATAGCTTCCAATATGGCTAAGAGACGGTATCTGAAAATATCGAGAAAGTTACACGGACTTTACTGTCTTATCAATTATCCGATTTTTTTCCAGTTTACTTTTTTTATCATTGGGTTAGTATACTCACCAGCATTATTGATTTCATATTCATAGGTAAAACTATATATTAGTGTCAGGTTATAGTGAAAAGTCAATAGAAATGAAACAATTTTTTTCGTTCAAGCTATATTTTCTCAAAATGTTTTTTGGCTACTTGACCGAAACAACTAGGTCATCATTGAAAAGCAGAGAACATAAAATAAGTATCTAGTTTTTAGGTTACTAAGCGATTCACAACCTTTACTACTACATGGAATGAATAAAGAACATTTAGGTCCAATTGTAACAGCGTTAGGTTTAAATCTATGAGTAAATTTCGACTGACATGCGAATTTTAATCTTCAGCCGACAACTGATAACATGAAAACCGACCTGTGTCATCATTATTGCGTATTTCATTTTCTTAACCGATCTTGAATACAGTAGTCTTGAGTGCTGTTAGAGGTATGAGGGCAGTTATCACTTCCCGGTTGCCCACACCATGGAAGGGTTCTTCTAGAGGTACGTGAAAAGGAAATCGGGTTAGGAGTGGTCTTAATGACCTGAGAGTGTGACCGCAGTGCCCAAGGGACAACTGCTTGAGGTCGGTCAAACACGACATTTTTGTGGGTAGTTTTTGTGTTAGCTCTGTACTTGTGGCGACCTTACCACCGGAGACGTATATCCGAGGGATAAGGCGAGGTGTGCATTTTTAGGGTCGACCTTTTCTAACCCCACCACTTCTTGTGGGAAGGCAGTATCGCTGTTATGCTGGTTGTCTGAAGGAAACACCTTACTGTTGTTACACCTCTGTACAGTCAGTACTACGACTTCGCCTTCAGACCTTGGGTTTGTTGCTTTCAGTCTCACCACTCTTCAACCGACCTGTCTGGCATGGTAGGACCTTGAGGAACGATTGTTCCAGCCAGTATGGCTCGATTGGTTCATCACGATAGGCAAGCGCGACCACCACGTCAAGGTAGCAGCAACCTATCTTTTATATACTACCACCACTAGATTTACTATCTCTATGAATCTGGTGTTCATCTTGTTGTGCTAACGAGGTATGGCAACTTGAACGGATGCATTAATGTGCCCGGTCCTACGTTGTGGCTGACTAACTGACTAACTGATCTTACTTGTTGAGAACAACTATTTAAAGTGAATGAACCTCAAAATTCTGTTAAATATGTAATTTTAAGTCATGAAGTGATCTTAACTAGACAACAACTGTAAAAACTGAATGCAATGTACTTCGGTTTCGTCCTAGTAGGATAGTCCTCAGAAGTGTGCTTCTACGAACATACCTCAGATGATCAGACTCAGGACCTTCGGTCTCATGCAAACGTTTGACCTGAAAAGCTGTGAGTCAGGGTAGAGCCTTGTATATGTCTTATTTCAATCGATTCACAATATTAGGCAATCTTCGTCCTTTGCCTCAGTTGAATATCTGTCTCACATCAAACTGTTTTGAACCCAGTTGATTGTGATTTATCAATAATATTCCAACCTAGATCATATCTTTACCTAAATTATGAGAGCTGCACAACCTTCACAAATTCCTACATATAAATCTGTATTTTAAATTAACTAATAAATAAATGGATAATTAGAAGCATAAATTTCAAGGGTATTGATAATTAGATCATATGCGTATATACTTCGATTTTCATTTCGAGGCTTTTACAGCCAAATAAATAATAATGTGAACTTTTATCTAGGTGCTGTAAGTTAAAACAGAGAAAATTATTGTTTTTTTGTATTTTCTATTGTTAGTCGCTCAATTTATTGAGTTATGTTATACCTTTAGTACATTACATGCAAAAAAACCCTTTTCCGTACAGTAGGATATCAAGAGCTCTTTTCAAAACTATCGTTAATTATTCATTATAATAATTTCAGATATGTTTAACGATTGGATTTACGAGTTCATCTAAGCTAGACAATCATTGAAAACCTCGAAGCATTGGAAGACCATTTAGTTTTAGTATGGGATATTTCACCAGTGTCCACCCACAGTCCCACATATAGGACTCGAACCCATGACCTTCGGCATCGCGCACAAACACTTAACTTCTAGATTACTGAGTCGACATCCAACGATGTTAGTGTCTAAATTCAATCGATGGATGGAGTCCACTCCGTGTCGTGTGGAGACACTTATCCACATCAATTAATGGATGAGTGGTTGTGCGAAATGAAGGATTGATTAAAGTAAGACAATAATACCGTCGGATGCCGGTTTACTGGTTTAGACATTAAGTGTTCTCTCACAAAACCGAAAAATGTGTGTTTGATTCTCATGTGTGGGATGGTGATGAAGAGTCCCATACTAGTAGTAAATAGCCGTTGAATGCTTCGAGGTTGCGATTGGTGGTCTCGCTTAGATTGACTCGTGAATTCAACTGTAAAAATATATCACAAATCTCCATTGTGATAATTTCACATAAATTATGATATGTGTTGATCGCTAAAAATAAGTCACATTTATATGTTTGTAATATTTCATTACTTAGAAATTAGAACTTAAACAATGTAACATTATTTTTTTATCACCATTAATTGTATTAGATATATTAGTTATATTAATATATTGAGATTATAAACCTAATGGAGTGATATTTTAGACAATAACCTATAGGGTCTGTAAAGAAAAGTTTTGTAGATGAAACGGGATCTTAGTCAATGATCAAGATAAGTATGTTCACTTTTAATTATCAGAAGAAGTTTTGTGGAGATTTAGTACTTTCATAGTTGCAAGCGTGAGTCAATTGAAGCTGGACAACCATCAAAAAGCTGGAAGCACTGGACGACCGTATTTTGGGGCTCCTCAACAGTGCACATCCACGATCCCGTCTTTCGAGGTTCGAACCCAGGACCTTTGTATTATCAATTACCATTTATTAATAGTGTTTTTTATGGACGAAAACTCACTTTCATTCATATACAAAACAATTTATCAGTTATGATAGTAGAATTGTCCAATAAATTCCAGCTACTGACTTGACAAATTTCATTGACATTAATTGTTTCCTAAAACTAATAAACAAAATATGTTTATCATGTACGATTTCCTTTTTGTCTATATTATCATTACAATTGGATTGTTGACATTGTCATTAAATTTACAACCTATGAATGGTAAAAGTTGAATGATACTTCTCTATAGGGATTAGTTGTTTACGTATACTTACTCAAAGAGTAACAATTTATCTCTTCATCTACTGTTATTGTTGTTGTAAATGTGAGCCATTCAAACTTGGAATCAATGACAAACGTGGCTATCAGGACTCAGTGGCCGAGTGAATAACGCGATGGCGTTTGAAGCGAGGGTACTGGGTTCGAGTCCCAGGTTGAACATCAAATCTGAAATGCAGGTACATCCAGCCGACGAGTCCCAAATAATACGAAACGCGCATCCTCGATTCCACTGCTAGCCACTATCCATCTTTGCTTATCATGCTTGTGGACAAACGTACTATTTTTGTATTTGTTTTTTTTGTATGAAAAACATAAATGACTATCATTACCAATATTTGACTTGATAATTTGGAATAAATTGAGCATTAGGCAGATTGTTATAAATAAATAATAGAACAACATTGTACTATTTAAACTTCGATTAATTTTGAGTTGATTATTTATTCTCTGAAGAAGTGACTTACACTGAGTCACAAAAAGGAAGATAATAAAATATATTACATATTTAAGTAATATATAATAATAAGAATCCCCTGAGTGACATTTTTCTCTATAAAAAGGCTTTAAGCTACATACAAATCAAAATAAACTTAGTAACCAAAGATAGATAGTGACTAACAGTGGAGTCCCGGACGCGCGTTTCGTCCTATTAGGGACTCGTCAGCTGGATTTACCTGCATCTCATAGTTGATGTTCACTCTGGGACTCGAACCGAGTAGTTTTCTCATAAAACACCATCACGTTCTCCACCTGTATACTGAGTCCTGATGGTCACTTGCTTGTGCAATGGGGTGAAGTTAAAATTCAAAATAAATTCGAAATAATTTACTTATCAATTATGGCACTCAATAATCTTCGATCTATATTGTTAATTGACTGAAATTAAAAATTAAAACCTCTGACGTTAAACTCGGTGGTCTGAAATCTACAAGAATCTCATGAAGTCCGTACGTTTCGAGTTCGATTCCGTGTGTAATTTTGGATTCTAATACATATCTACTTGAACCCTTTATAGTGACTACCAACGCGTTTTCTTTATTCCCACACCATTCTTACACATGGACTGAATATTAAAGAAAAGGCGAGAAATAAGAATGGGAAACTTACTTTAATCTTAATTTATGCACAAAATATAAATTTGTTTGTAGGTTTACAAATAATCTTAACCATGTAGAAGCTTCTGGAAATATTTCAACTTTGGTAACAAATGAGTCAGTCAGCTGCAATGTAGGACCCGGCACATATATGCATCGGTCCAAGTTGCCATACCTCGTTAGCACAACAAGATCAACACCGGATTCATAGTAGTTAATTTAGTGTTGGTGGTAGTATATAAATTATAGGTTGTTTATAAGGATATAGTATAGGAAGGAAGAAAGTTATGAAGCAATTTTAGTCTCAAGGTTTAAGGGAAGATGAAGAGTGTATACACCTACGCCATTGTGATCGATTCTGAGCCATGTCACAAAGAGTCTCCAACCATTGGTTACGATAGTCACACGGACCCCAACCAGGTAGTCTGCATCTGCCAACATGGCTCAGACTAGAAGTTAGTGACTTCAAACACTGATGCCACATTTTGGTTTGGCCGCCCCTAACTCTCTTCCAACCATCCCAAATACTAGTCATCATAGCGCGTCGTGGTAATCGATGTTCAGGCATACGTAACACATGGCCCAACGATCTCAGTCGATGAAGATTCATGACCTCATCAACTGATTTACCATCATTCCCTAATACCCTGCGTCTAACCTCACTATTACTTACCCGGTGATCCCAGCAGATGCGAGCAATATTTCTAAGGCATCTGTGGTCAAATACTAGTAACTTACGAGTATCTTCTACTGTTAATGGCCATGTTTCGCAGCTATAGAGTAAAACAGAACGAACTGCTGCGCAGTATACTCGTCTCTTAATTGATAGACGGAGATCTCGTCTTCGCCATAGGTGACGTAAGTTGGCAAAAGCCAAACGAGCTTTTCGAATCCGTGCTGAGATTTCGTCAGACACCAACCCATTAGGGCTGATCAGACTTCCAAGATAAGTGAAGTTGTCGATGCGTTCGACTACTTCACTCCCTATCCTTAGTTCAGGTGTTGACGAAGGCCAGTCCTGGAGTAACAATTTACATTTGGATGGGGAGAAACGCATCCCAAACATTCTGGCATTATTACTGTGTTTCAACAGAAGACTCTGCATTTTGCCAGCGTCTTCACCAAACAGGACTATGTCATCTGCGTATTCTAAGTCGCTTAGTGGTCCCCCTGGTAGGAGATCAATTCCTGTAAATTCAGTTGAAGAGAGTGTTATTTCCAGCAACAGGTCTATAATGAAGTTTAAAAAAAATGGGGATAGTGGACAGCCTTAACGGACACCATTTGAGGTTTTAAAATCAAACGACAGTTCGCCATAAGCTCTCACTCGACTAGTAGTGTTCGGGTAAAGAGCCTTCACAAGGTTTATGTACTTCTGAGGTACAACTTTCAATGACAGACACTGCCACAGAACCTCCAATGTGTAGTTTGGAGCGAGGTTTTAGTAGACCTGGGACAGCGTTTCGCGCACTAGAATCGTTGGCCATGGTGACACTTGAGGAGGAAACCGGAAGAGGAAGTTTAGTGTTGAAAGTCAAGGTAGAAGGAATAGTAGGAATTGAATAAAGAGATTGATTATGAATACAGTTGTCTTGAGTGCTGTTAGAGGTATGAGGGCAGTTATCACTTCCCGGTTGCCCACACCGTGAAAGGGTTCTTCTAGAGGTGGGTATATTTTAACAGATCCTACATTTGTGTTCACTACAAAGGAATCCTAACACTATACCCTAAAGTTCTTATATTAAATCATAATTTAAACACTTATCTTTTAGATCAGAATGGGTTTTTGCGGACATTTCAATATTTTCATGGTTGAAATCATGAGTCAATTGAAGCCGGACCATCAGTGAAAACCTGGAAGCACTGAACGGTTGTTTCGTCCTATTATTGCACTCCTTAGCAGTGCGCATCCACGATCCCGCACCCACGAGATTCGAACTTAGGACCTACCAGATTCGCGCTGGAGCACTTAACCGATTATCTTTTAACTTTAAATAATTTATTAAGTATTTTATTAATTGATCAAAAATCCACATTAACCTTTAATTAGATTTTAATATAATTGCAGTTCATTTCAATCAATTTAACTTAAAAAGGTTTCAAAGTAACAAAGTTTAATGCCTTTTTTCTTTTTTAATGATTATAATTTGATTTACCATTGTTCATTTAACCTTTAAGGACAAACAAAATTCTTTATTTTACAGTTTAATGTTCTTTTTTATATAAAGCAACCACTTCAAATTGACCATTTTTCATAAACGCAATTTATCATAATGAAAAAAGGTTAAATAATATTTTATTTTTAGAAATTTTTTGGTAACCCCTCTTTCTCTCCATCCCCCTCGCTGTCCCCTCCCACTCTCTCCCTATCTCTCTCTTTATATATATATATATATATATATATATATATATATATATATATATATATATAGTTACCGTGTACATTAATCATCATTAATTTTCTTTTTATGTTTTTTTATTTTTCTTATAAAGTATACGACACATCATTGGATTAAACGAAGAAAGCAAAATAAAAAATGTAAACAATGTGGAAAGGTATGCGATTTTTTAAAGTTTTTTTTTGGTTCAATTTCTTTTACATATTACTGTTATTGTTTATTTTCAAAACTGAAATGGTTGAGAATTAGTCTTTTAGTCTTTTGATAAAAAGATAGAAATTTGACCAATTTATTAGATTGTTGTGTGATAAAATCTTTCAGATTTTTATAAATGAGAACATACGATGGGGGACAGACAATGTATTTCAATAAGAAAATTATAGAGTTCTTTGGTAAACGTAAAAACTATACTTAGTATTGTTTGTTTGAATCTTCCCATTGATGATTAGGACTGCAACTGGTCAGTCTCTGACGAGTTTGAAATAGGACAAAACGCGCGTCCTGGATTCCACTGCTAGCTACTATCCATCTTAGCTTGTAAAAACTATACATTCCATATTTTATATACAAAACTTCCATCAACTGTCTAAACTTCCATTGTTCTTCCCGTTCTAGAACATTTACTTTCTGTTCCTGTTCTGATTGATCCAATCTTCTCAAGCTTCTGATGCTAGGCATTCTACTTGTGATCGGTATTATATACTAATATCAGTCAACATGAGTAGAACACACCACAATATGGTTATATATCGTTAAATTTCTATTTATTCTGTGTTCTCTTGAAATGTGTGATTTGTTAAGATAGACTTTAGAACATTGTGTAAATGTATATTGGTGCTTAGGTTATTTATTTATCAAACCGCCGCCTACCATGATGGGTAATATTTGTTAGTAAAGGTTGAAATAAAACTTGGAACGTTCAAACTAACATATGTCACTAGTCTATAAAATCATTGACCGTTGGCCTTGACCATGTCGTTAGATGAAGACTACCTGTTTGGGTGGTTTGAGACTTCATATAACATTTCATAATATCTTTAACATTGGTTCAGATGCTGTTACTCTTTGTCATGATTTTGAATCCTGATAGTCCTTCCTAGATACCTTATTCATTTTATCGTTATGAACCACAGTCTTAATGTTTAGTCTTTCTCATTCATATGACTACTACAACATTAATTTACTTCCTTTATCATCCATTTTATTAATTTCTTATCATCTTAATAATGTAGTTTGGTAACTTGGGGGGATAGAGAAATATATATATAAATACATACTTTTGTTACTAGTCATTAAATTTTCATTTACAAAACATCATTTCAATCATACCATCATAAAATAAACTTAACTTATGTTTCTATATCAATATACGTCATTGATTCAAGTATTTATTGCTTGATTACGTAATAGATAAACTAAAAAAATATAAAAAAAACGGGAACACTTGACTTTTTTTGTCTTTTAAAGAAATAAATCAAATTGTCTCGTTTGTTTATGAAAAAAACAAAACATACCTATCTATTTGGATGTATGTATGTATGTATATTGATATATTGTTTTATGGATGAGTTGAATGTATTTTTTTGTTTTTCGGTTTTTAAACCGCTGTTTATCTTTTTTTTTGTTTTCAATATTAACGTTATCGGTTGTTGCTTTTTTTTATTATTCTTGGTACTAACGTCATTTGAACTGTATATTGTTTCTCAAAATAGGTATAGGTAGATAGAGGGAAATATAAACTTAACTCATTTTTATATTATCGTTACAGAGAATCACTTTTGTATTTTAAGAGTAATAATAATAATATTAATAATACATGCATTTTTAAATAGTTTAAATCATGAGCTAGACCACCATGAAAAACCTAGAAGCACTGGATGACCGTTTCGTTCTATTGTGGGACTCCTCAATAGTGCGATTCCACCATCCTGCCTCACGGGATTTGAATCTACGACCTATCAGTCTCGCACCCGAGCGCTTTACCACTAGACCACTGAGCTGGTTGGTATCCAACAATGTTAATGTCTAACTTCAACCAATCCATGAAGTTCTGAGCAACCATTCACCATTGTTTTCAGTGAGTTATTATCTCACAACAGACGTCGTTGAACTCCACTGGTTACTGCATCTCACTAGATCTTCACAAAACCTTCCTTCTAATAATAAATACATTGTTTTCTATTACTAGCTTTGATATCATTCTACTTTATATTGATTTCCTTTTTAGTCTTTACAATCAATACTAGGATTTTCTTCTAAAGTAAGTAATCTAATCTTTGGTATTGTTAATCATTTGAAAAGATTTTGCAAAACAAAATGATAAATATACTTGTTATTATTCTTTTGTACAGTTGACAATGAAAGATTATTTAAGAACATTAGTTATGAAATATAACAGTTGGATTGTTTTATATTTGTGATTTCTATCCATCTACTTTATTATTTTTCATTATGGTACAATATACAATTCTGAGCGCAAAGTATTTCAACAAGTTTCCGGTTTTTTTTATTTCATGATCGATCCTGATGATAAATATTGTGTGATCGTCAATTAGATGTTAGCAGGTTAGGAATTGACATCCGAATAAAACATATTCTTTTTGATGTATATTGTCAGCAACCACAATGTCTATGATTGTGTCCTTGCTTAACTTGTACAGTGAAAGGTCGTGAACTTTTCACAAACGCAGCTGAATAGCTAGTGCAATTAAGTGACATAATGATCTGTTGAAACAAACAAAAGACAGATAACTTGTTGAAATATCTAAATGACAGAAACAGGTAACCCAGATATTCAAACAGGCCTCTTTTATTAATTTAGGAATAGGTTTATATGTTTTTATTGAGAAAATACAAACTAGACGTACATAACTTCTTATGTTTATGATTCTATAGTTTATGTTGGTTAATCATGAATAACTGGATAAAACTCCTACAAACAAAAATTAAATTATTCAATCGCTTACACCTAATAAACATTGAATTTGTTATGAATTTAAAAAGGCTGTCTCAAATTTGTTAGGATTTTATGTCCGGCTTTTTATCACATGATTTATCCATTAATCGAGATACGACTTATCTATACTTACCACTGTGCCATACCAATGACGTTCGACCGGTATGAACAGTAAAGCGTCTTCATTGATCCCTAGTCGGCCTAGCCCTTCCAGTTGAGTCCAGAACACCAATTACAGCTTCTGTTATGCGAATCATTTATTTTAAGAATACTCGGTTGATATACCAGACAGACAGACCGCATCACACCATAAAATAGAAAATAATACTTGTACAAGATCAAGTCAAATGTGGCGGTGAACGTTGGACAGTAACTGATAAACTGAGTATAATTTAGGAACAGTAAATCGTATAATAATAATCCATAGATCGAAACGAAGCTTATAATAAGATGAATATAGATACATACAATCTAATCAGTGAATAGTCATACAATAAGAATAAACATAGTATAATAGTCCATTAATAGCTCTCAGAAGTTACCCGTACTTTGTTCTTCACTAGGACATAACACAAACCATTCAAAAATATCGTTCAAAATGATGATCAATCGCCAAAGGAACAGGTTATCCAGCTTTGGTAAAAAACAAACAATCGAAGGCAAACAAACCTATGATGACAACTGACCACAAATGAGGTCATTACAACAAACTAACCTAATATTTGTATGACAACTAAGAAACTTACTACTTCACTAATTAAATGCTGATGATATTATTAAGAATAACAGTGTAAACTCATCAATTAATCTATTTAGATTAAAGAATTGAACAGTACCATGAGTATACACCTGAAGTACTAATCGTTTGCATCGTCTCATTTGAAACTGTTACGCTATTATATAAATTTAAAAACCAAAGTTGTTGTTGTGTTTTTTTTCATCTATAAAATTAATCGTCTGTTTTCCGTTTTGTCTCCCCCTTGATTCATTTCATTAGGAATATATAACAATTCAATGCACATGGTGTAAAATAGGTTATCATAATAAATCAAGTTGTTTTCGTGAATCATATCTAACTGAACCATGTTCATTAGGATCATATTCAGATTTAATTGTTCCACCTGATTGGATTATTAAATTAACTGAAAGAGTAAGTTTTTTTTCTTTTATATCTATCTATATATATATCTATGTATACGCTGTTGTCATTCCTGTATTCTTTTTTTTATAAATATTACGTCATTCAAATGTTTGCTTTTATTCAAGTGAAAATATTTTATAAAATATAAAAGGGTCCTAAATTCATTATTTAAATTTTAGAAACAATATTATCAACTAGTTAAAACAATAATCCATATTGTAAGCAAAGATAGATAGAGGCTAGCAGTGGAATCCTGAACGCGCGTTTCGTCCTATTTAGGACTCGTCAGCTGAATGGACCTGCATCTCAGAGGTGATGTTCATTCTGGGACTCGAACCCAGTACATTTCCCTTCAATCGCCATCGCGTTCTCCACTTATCTACTGAGTCCTGATAGCCACTTGCTTGTGCGATGGGGTGAACTTTAAATTCAACTTAGTATTATTTGTTTGAAACTTCCTATTGATGTTTAGGACTGAAATTGATCAGTTTCTGAAAGGCATATGTGCATACTATGTGTATTGCATCGATGTAGCTTTATTTCACAAGCATTGTAAGCAAAGATGGACTCAGTAGCCGAGTGGATAACGCGATGGTGTATGACGCGAAAGGCACTGTGTTCGAGTCCCACAGTGAACGTCAACTCTGAGATACAGGTACATCCAGCTGATGAGTCCCAAATAGGAAGAAAAACTCGTCCTGGATTCCACTGTTAGCTACTATCCATCTTTGCTTACAATGCTTGTGAATTAAGGCTATATCGAGGCAATACGCACAGTATGCACATATGCCAATAAGAGACTGATCAGTTGCAATCCTAAACATCAATGGGAAGATTTAAACAAACAATACTAAGTGAAAAATCCATATTGTATGATAAGTGAATAGATGAAAATTAAAATTGAGATATCAGTAGTATATTTGTAGATCGGTTATATTATAGACCAGTTTTCAAATAACAGTTTCTATACACCTATTATGATAATTTGAAAAAAAGATTATTGGAGTAGACAATTGTATTCAATAAGTTTATAACAGGCTTAATAGTTGTTTCATGGAACCAGAATAAGGCATGCTAGTGAACTAGACAGCGTAATTTTTTTTTCAAAAAACGAATTTTAGTTTCTATTACGGAACAAATACCTCAAAAATGTGTCATTTGTAAACTAAACAGATTATTCACAAAGGGTTAGAGGTAGGGTGTCAGATCAAAAAAAAGGATAATGACAAAATAAATCGTGGGAATAAACTACATAGTAGGACAATTTTTCTACTTGCTGGAGGTAATAACTATAACAATAAGAATAGTAGTTATGATAACAGTATAATCACATAAAACGCACTCCAGTTAATGGAATATGAAACAGTACAATAATATTTCCTTATCCTACAACATAGCAGTTCAACTACGCGATTCTTATGGTTGACTTTTGTCCAATCACGTAGTCTACACCTATCAACATATATATATGAGTCGTAAAGTATTTAGTCAAATAGAAATTGATCTAACTCAATAAAATACGTAACTGGTAGGTCCTGGGTTCGGATCTCGTGAGTGCGGGATCGTGGGTGCGCACTGCTGAGGAGTCCCATAATAGGACGAAACAGTCATCCAGTGCTTCCAGGTTTTCGATGGTGGTCTGGCTTCAATTGACTCGTGATTTCAACTTTGAAATATACTGAAATCTCCACAAATCCCCTTCTGAATAAAATATGTGTTACAATGGAATAATTAGTGAGTAGTGGTCAATGTCATGTACGTAAAATCCATCTTGATACTGATAGAATTCTAACTTTACCAGAGCTTGTATTAACTAGTTCTATATCAAGCCCATATCGGTTATCCTAGTTTCTGGACATACTAGTTTATTCATTTTTTTCATGCCATATTCTGACCTTGTCATTTATTCGCTTATTAATCTTGACTGTTTTTATATGAGCTCATGCGTGTTAACTGCTTACCCCATTTATCAATTATCTAACTTATTTTCGTTTGACAACAAATATTGAGTCACACTCGATTGAATTGAGGTGGACAGCATGCTGTTTTCCAATCTGTTTCACTTCCCATTTTCCTCTTTGTTTCTCTGATTATCTGTTCAGATCAACGGTTGTACGAAATATACATATACAAACTTCAATCTCCTATTTAACCTATTTAATTCCATTATTAACTAATGTGATTTAAGTCGATGAAAAATAAGCGAGGATTGATGGCATGTACATTTCGATAACAATTAGGCTACTATGTCACTGTAGACAGATACCAGATTACTAAACGCTACATTCGGAGTTTGTACTATTAAAATTGTATTCATTTTATTCGTTTCTATTTTATTAATCCTCTGAAGAGGCAGCTTCCACTAAGAGATGAAACATTATAAAGTTAATTTTCTACTCATAAAAATATTATTTATATATCGTTATCTTTACTATTATAATTATATATATACATATATATATATATGTATTGTTCTTTTGTAGTTCTTTCCTAAGATAATTATATAATCTAAACTATTTAAGTTGTTCTTTAATTAGTAGGTATAATTTGAAAAGTATCAATGTATTGACTAGATTACATTACAAAAATGATTACTATTTTTATAGGCATCATAGCTCAAATATTTTTCTATTAGACCTAATGGCTTTTAACAGTTTTATCAGTTACTTAAGTATGTACTTTACCCAAGCAATAAATACATAAATACATACAAATTCATCAATATGTATATTTATATGTATCTTTGAGGTGTAAAAAAAAATAACTGATATTATAATTTTGTATTAAATATCACATTGAGAAAATTGTCTATAACAATCTTGTGTTTAATTAAGATGAGAGATAATGTCTTATGGAATTCAGCAACGTGTTTCAGTTCCTTCAAAATTTCTGATGAGTGTATACTAATACAAAGCTTACACTGAAGACTGTTTATCATTTATCTCTAACCGCATCGACAACTTCACTTATCTTGGAAGTCTGATTACCCCCAATGGGTTGGTGTCTGACTAAATCTCAGCACGAATTCAAAGAGCTCACTTGGCTTTTTACCAACTTACGTTACCTACAAGATATCCGTCTATCAATTAAGGGATTCGTATATTGCACAGCAGTTCTCTCTGTTTTACTTTACGGCTGCGTAACGTGGCCGTTAAGAGTAGAAGATACTCGTAAGTTACTAGTATTTGACCACAGATGGCTTAGAAATATTGCTCTCATCTGCTGGGATCACCGGGTAAGTAATAATGAGTTTATATACAGGGTATTAGAGAATGATGGTAAATCAGTTGATGGGGTTGTGAAAATTCATTAACTAAGATGGTTGTGCCACATGTTACGTATACCTGAACATCGATTACCAAAACGCGCAACGCTGACTAGTATTGTCAATGGTTGGAAGAGAGTTAGGAGTAGCCAAACCAAAATGTGGCATCAGTGCTTGAAGTCATCAATTTCTAGTGTGAGCCATGTTGGTAGATACAAACTACTTGGTTTGGGTCCATGTGACTATCGTAACCAATCGTTGGAAACTGTGTGTGACATGGCTCAGAATCGATCACAATGGCGTAGGTGTATACACTCTTTATCTTCTCTTAAATCTTGAGATGAAAATTGCTTTATATCTGTCTTTCTTCCTGTTCTATATCCTTATATACAACCCTTGTTTTATATATTACCATCACTAAATTAACTACTTCTATGAATCCGGTTTTCATCTTGTTGCGCCAACGAGGTATAACAACTTGAACCGATGCATATGTGTGCCTGATCCTACATTTTAGCTGACTGACTGACTGAACCACCAAATATATTCAACATACAAATTACATTTTTGTTAATAAATACAAATATTTATATACAATGTTTACGTCGTTTAAACGATATTCTATCAATACATTATACTGAGGAGTATTTTCAATGTTGAAATAAATATCAGCTTCGTTAAATTTTATTTTATTTATTTAAACATATAAATATTGGCACAGAGGGTCCCCCCCTTCCAGCCATATATTGCAATGGTGAAGCCTCGTAGGCCCTTCTGGGAAGAGTGCTGCTGCACGGCACAACTACCGGGGTGAAATAGCTGTTTTTGCATGCCACGCGGAACCATTACATAACACTCACAAGTACCCATTTTTTGTCATTTTCATTTTGTTTTTGTTTGGGCAGACTTTTTTTTCTCTCTCTCTTTTTCTCTCTCTATTTTTGCACTCTTTTTTTAGTATTTATCCTCTCTCTCTGTTGTTTCTCTCTCTCTTTGCACTCTCAATAGCTATATAATGATTCCTTGTAGCACTCGATAATCATTTTGTGGTTATAGGTAGAGTGGGTGATCTCGGGTTACCGCTCACGTTAGTTCATGGAATCAATCCCATGATCCAGGAGGCACGACGAGCACGTGTGAGTCGGATTTTACCTCCCATTCCATTAGAGGGTCACCGGATATATATACGCCACACAAATCTCATTTGATTTGTGTGAGGGCTGTATACTGCCCGGGTGCACAAACCGAAACAGGTGGTTTTCTTAGGAGGCCACATTAGCAGCCTTTGACCTAAATGTCTGATCCAAAAGGCAACGGAGATACAGTCCTATGGTAGTCGATGACCAACGATTGATTCATACGCCATTTGTTGCCTCAGGATACTGGAGCCCATGTGCACCATCGGTTTGGAATCAAGATTTTCCAACTCCCCTAGGTGAACTTTCCATGTTCACCAACCCGGTTAAAGCGTCGGACATTCGCTTTTCGTCCTCTCAATTTCGTAAACAACACCTCCGCCACGAGAAGACAGTGACTAGGAATTCCCTGGCAGAGGTACTAAACGTGTGGCCATGTAAGTGCATTTGGAGAGGGAGAGCGGACCCTCCCCACTTTTGGCAGTACCAAGGCTCTGGTGTGCGGCCACGGTTGTATTTGCGTTTCATTACCACCGTTTCGTCTATTTCAACAATTTTTCCCACTCCTCCATACAATTGGTGTATGCTTGTCAGTTTTGTTGCGCATATATCTCCGCAAAACTCGTACCATTGAACTGCCGAAACTTCGCTTACATCGGCAAAGGCGGCAGCTAGTGTTACCGGCTCTTTTATTACCCAATTCGCAACAAGGAGCATAATTTGTCTCAACCTTAACTTCGAGCGAGCGAAAAATGTCCCTGTTCTAGATGATTTCTTCTTCCAACATGAAGGACATCGAAAGATAATATCGTCACGATAGTCTGCACAATGTACAATGCCCCCAAATGCCCTGGTACGACCGAGAGTGGGGAGAGTCACCTCTCCCTCTCGAAATACTCTCATATGGCAAGCGAATATATAGCCACTGCCAGGGAAATCCTACTCACTGCCTTCTCGTGGAGAGGGTGTTGTGTACGAAAGTGAGAGGACGAAAAGCGAATCTCCGGCGCTTTAACCGGGTTGGTGGACACGGAAAGTCCACCTAGGGGAGTTGGAAAACATTGATTCCAAACCAGTGGTGCACATGGGCTCCAGTATCCTGAGGGAACAAATGGCGTACGAATCAACGGTTGATCACCGGCTACCATGGGACTGCATCTCCTCACGATGCTTCACTGCCTTGTGGATCAGACATTCAGGTCAAAGGCTCCGGGTGTGGCCCCCTAAGAAAAACACCTGCTTCAGTTTGGGCACCCGGGCAGTATCACAGACCTCACACAAATTGAATGAGATTTGTGAGGCGCATATTTATCTGGTGCTTCCTTGTACCAATATTTATGTGTTTAAATAAATAAATAAATAAATAAAACAATGTTCATTTGACAACCGCAGTCACAAGTACAGGAGCTTCTCAATAATCCGTTTTCCTGTAGTCGCTCAATTATGACGTCCTCTCGAAAATCCGCTGTAAAGCGATCGTACGTAAGCATCATGTTGCGAAATTACCGCAGTGACCTTGAAAACCCGCGAAAGCTTCTGATTGGCTCATCCATGTTCTTTAGTCCCGCCTAATTTTCTATTAATATATTTTTTTGATCATCTCATATCTTCACTATACTCGTCATTATTTATCTTTATATTTAAGAATGATTACAAACTACCATCATCATCATCATCTACATCAATCTGTCGATCAAGTAGTTTTGTTACCCCATCATGTTTATCAAATTGTGATAAAAATATCAATCAAATTCGTTCATTAATTTCACGACCAAATAGTCTTGATCATTCGAATCATATAATCAATAATAATAATAATAGTATAATATCTGATCAATTATCCTCAAAAACATCCATAACAACAGTACATGAAGATATTCAACCTATTTCAATAAGTCAAGCAAATATTTATATTGAACCTAAAATATCATTTGTTATTAAAACAAATCCAATTAATACTGCAAGCCTTAAACCATTATTAGTATTTCTTAATCCAAAATCCGGTGGTAATCAAGGTGTAAATTTATTAAAAAAATTTCAATGGTTATTAAATCCACGTCAAGTATTTGATGTATCAAAAGGAGGACCAAAAATGGGGTAAGCTAATACTATTTAACTTATTATATTTTATTTTAATTATAAATATATTTCGGATTATCCTTCATTGTACTGAAATTATAAATGAAAAAAGAAACAATTTCTAACAGTAATTTCTATTAAGATGGTGGTTGGAGGTGGTCAACAGGAAACCCTGAACCTGAGTTTCGTGTTACTTGGCACTCGTCAGCAAGGTGTACCTGTTATTTTGAGCAAACTGATGCTCCCTGACGGATTCGATACCGTGTCACCTGGCTTCACAGTCAGAGACATTACCACTGAACTATTCGGGCCGTGATCGACCTCCTGTAGGACTGAGATGGAATCACAATTTCTATGCAGTGTCGAGTCACCTAGACTAGTGGCCATATTGCAACTTGATCGATAGCATTCCATCAGCACTAAAAAGAACTTGACACATATGACATTGATCATTACCCAGTGATCAATCAATTGTGATTGATATATGTGCATGCTATGCTTATTGCCTTGATATTACCCTAATTCACATGCATTGTAAGCAAAGATGGACAATGGCTAGCAGTGGAATTCAAGACGCGCATCTCATCCTATTTGTAACTCGTCAGCTGCATGCACCTGCATCTCAAAGATGATGTTCACTTTGGGACTCGAACCCAGTTTATAACGTTATGGTGTTTGAAGCGAAAGGTAATGAGTTCGAGTCCCAAAGTGAACATCAACTCTGAGATGCAGTTACATCCAGCTGACGAGTCCCAAATAGGATTCCAGTGCTAACCATTATCCATCTTTGCTTTTAACATATTTTCCATTCATATTTAACAATATAATTTGATTCGGTTTAAAAAGGAATCTGGTGTTGTAATATGAAAATACTATACTGTTTACTTTCTGTACTCAAAAATGTGGCTTACACTTTTCATTAGATGGAAATTTATAAATTGATAATGTAACAGTACATTAGAATATTTGAATGATATTATTTCTATCAAGTTCATTAGATCTACTTTGATTTGATTAATTTTTTTATAGTTTGGAATTGTTCAGTCGTGTTCCAAATCTACGTATCCTCGTGTGTGGTGGTGATGGTACAGTTGGTTGGATATTTTCTACTATTGATTCAATGAATTTTAATACAATACCACCAGTTGCTGTTTTACCATTAGGTACTGGGAATGATTTAGCTAGAGCATTAAATTGGGGCTCTGTAAGTGATCGTTACAAAATTGGATAGATTAATGTCTATAGTAATACATATATATTCACCGTTCTCGCCGTTCATTATTACTAAGCTAATGTGTTCTAATCCGTTTAAATCTGATGAGGCGTTTTAAAATAACTAACATATTTATGAAATAAAATGAAATGAACTGTGGAAATGTTATCCCGATTTGTCTCACTGCTGACAAACAAACTCAAAAAATTGCTTTCATTTCTGATTATGTTGTGTTCTTATGCCGTGTTAATTAGAACACCAACTTATATGTCCTTGACACTGTGCCGAACAGATGATGTATTAACTTGTATGAGTAGCCTAGAGCCAACTCTGAGTCCTTAATGGTTTTCGTTGCCTAATCCTGTCCGTTTGAGTCCAGAACGCAAACCTCAGCTTCCGCTATATCAATCATATATTTCAGACATACTTAGTTTATATATAAACAAACCAGACCTCATCATACCGTAAATAGAAAATAACGATTATATAAGATCAAGCCAAAAGTGTCAGTGACTGTAAAATACTTTAACTAATAAATTGGAATAACGTGAGAATATTATATCATATAACAGTAGTCAATAGGTCAAATGGAAGCCTATAACAAAAGAAATATGAATATAAATACAAATTAGTTAATTATTCTTTATACAATAAGAATAAATATGTATAATAACAGCCGTTAAATAGACCCTAACAGCCCCCGAATTTGCTGGTACGGCCGAGTGTGGGATAGTTCACTCTCTCTCGAAATGCTCTCACATGGACACGCGTATATAGCCTCTGCCAGAGAAGTCCCACTCACTGCCTTATCACACCAGCGGTGTTGTTTACGAAATTGCGAGGACGAAAAGCGAATGTCCGGCGCTTCAACCGAGTTGGGGAACATGGAAAGTTCACCTAGGGAAGTTGGAAAATCTTGATTCCAAACCAATCATGCACATGGGTTCCAATATCCTGAGGGAACAAATGGCGTATGAATCAATCGTTGATCATCGACTACCATGGGACTGCATCTCTTCACGATGCTCTACTGCCTTGTTGATTAGATATTTAGGTCAAAGGCTGCTAATGTGGCCTCCTAAGAAAACCACCTGTTTCGGTTTGTGCACCCGGGCAGTATCACAGCCCTCACACAAATCAAATGAGATTTGTGTGGCGCATATATATCTAGTGCCCCCTTGTACCAATATTTATGTGTTTAAATGAAATAATATCATTCATTCATTCTACGTTAGGATATAACAGATTAGTACATAAAATATACCCGATAAATTTCATATTTTGTTATTCACATTGATGCCTTGGATGATTGAAATCATCTAAGTGAACTACACAAAATCAACATACAAAAAATATCTGTGGTTTTTTTAAAATAAAAACATTTGTCTTCCAATTCACTTGATACTGTATCTGGTTTCTTATTTTTCTTTCTTTCGGAAACTAATGTTATAGCTAAAGAATAAATAGTTTATAAAAAATAAGATGGTGGTTTTAGGTGGTCGATAGGAAACCCTGGACCCGGGTTTCGTGCTATTTGGTACTCGTCAGCAAGGTTTACCTGACAGATTCAATCCCGTGTCATCCTGCTTCACAAGCAGAGACTTTACCACTGAGCTATTCGGGCCGACCTCCTGTAGGACTGAGATGTAATCACAATTGATGGATCACTAAGTGGCGATCAATGTCATGCGTGTGCAGTCCGCTTAGTGCTGATCGAATGCTATCGATCAAGTTGTAATGTGGCCACCAATCTAGGTGGCTCAACACTACTTGAACTATGTTGAAATAAGATAGTGGTTTGGAGGTGTATAACAAAAATAATAACCACAGTTTTAATCTAAAATGAAGCATTACATAAGATATCATATATATGTATATGTACATTTGAAGTAATCTCAAGCTACCTTGACGAAGTCCAGAGAAGTTTACTGGATGAAATGTTGAAATGATTTGAAATATAATTTCCATATATATAATGACTTCTGTATGCTTGGAATTCCATTTCTATCAAACTATCCTTTCTAATTACATAAGAGAATTGATTAAATTTCTACCGAAAAAAATCATTTGTTTTTTTGTGTTCAGTTAGTTACTTCTATGACATCAGCTTGTTAAATGACGTTTAATAATTTGGTTATATCATTATGTAAATATATATATATATATATCCGTTGCTGTCATGCTGTCAAAAGTGATTCGCAGTTACCTTTTTAAAAATAATCTCGAAAGTCTTTAGTTTTGACAGCTTTATTCATAGTAGATTAACAATGATTTGACATTAATGAATAACAAATTGTTGCTACGATAACAAATTAAAAAAAAGGGTGGATTAAAATAAGTTTGTTGCATCTTTCATAGCTGAAAGCATGAGTCAATTGAAGCTAGATGCTTTAAACTATGAAAATACTAAATCTCCACAAAACCCCCTTCTGTTACATTTTTGACTATTTTTAAGTTACTGTATTGATGAATATGTAAACAAATGTGTATTTATTTCAGTGCTTTAGAATTATTAACTACTAAGTTGTTGTTGTTGTTGTCATATCTGTCAATAGTTTGTTAGTTATACCTTACCCTACACTAATCCAATGGATTTATAGTCTCAATATAATAGGGGAAGAATTAAACTGTTTAAACAAAATGCTCATTGCAAATTGATATGTTGATAATAGTATTGTGGTGTGAGTGGGTTACTTATATCCACATAAGTAGATTATAACGGTGGTCGAGCATTGAATGTATTTCAGTAAAAGAGAACGGAAACAGGACGGAATCGGTATGAAAATGTATGAACAATAATAGTCGAAGACAATTCATTGATAGTTTGCAAAATAACTATTTACTATATGGTTGTCAGATTTTAGTGAGATATTCTGTAATTTTGTGCTTGAATACATTCGATTATCCCTACTCGTGTTCTTTTTCAATACAGTATGAAGCTCAGATCTACAAATGTATGAATAAGGGGTTTTTTGTGGAGATTTTAGTAACTTTATAGTTGAACTCATGAGTTAATTGAATCTAGACCACCATGGAGAACCTGCAATCACTGGACAACCGTTTCTTCCTATCTTGGGACTTCTTAGCAGTTCGCATTCACGATCTCGCCTTGCGAGATTCCAACCCAGGATCTATCAGTCTTGCGCGCGAGCGCTTAACCAGTAGACTTCAACTGATCCACGAAATTGAGTGACAAATCCACCATTTTTTCAGTGAGTTGATATCTCACAACAGACCTGGTTGAACTCCACCGGTCACTGCTTCTCAGGAATTATTTCTCGAAGTCAGTCACTAGTGAGCATATGATTATTATCAGAAGGGGTATGAATAACCAAGATACTAATGTAATTGATTTGCACGAACATTGATTTATAAGGTGAATGACCTATGCTTATGTTGGTGAGAAGGATTCCCAACACACACAAAATAACATTCTTCATCTAAGCGTTTATGTTGACATATTTTGGTTGACATGAGTTTAGATCTCTTGACTTGTCAATTTGCTTAGCGCTATCGAGCTATGTGTACGAATCATTTGGTGTATTCTCTATCTCAGAGAATCAAAAAGCATAAAATGGCATTAATAATAATGAGCTGAATTGGACGCATAAGAAGTTGAATAACGAAAAAACTTGTAAACAAAAGTCACTCGATCAAGATAGGATCATCACTTAAAGTTGTTCTCATGGAGATTAGAAACCTACCCAATGGTAATGAGCTTCCTTCTTTTCTACGTTGTTAAATATATGTATATACTAGTAATATTAATTATGACATGAAATTTTTAATGAGACCCTTAAAACTAAAATTAATCACTATTTTTTTACAGGGTTATATTGATGAATCTGTATCGAAAGTATTAAACTCCGTTTATGAAGGTCGTGTTATTGCATTGGATAGGTAAGTATTAGTTAGATTCTTTTCCTCTTAAATGTGACTAGTATTCATTAATAGTTTTACAATACAAGTGAATGCATGTTTTTTTTTCTAGTCAGATGAATTTACTACTAACATATTTCAATACTACTTTTTAATTAGGAAAATTCAGGTGTATATATTGTTTGTCTTCCGCTTAATCGAAAAATATAATAATAATGAATAAGGGCCTGTTACTCCCAATGGAGCATAAGCCGCCGACCAGCTTTCTTCAGCCCACTGTGTCCTAAGCCTTCCTTTCTAGTTCTATCCAGTTTTTGTTTATTCTTCTCATGTCTGTCTCTATTTCTCGGCGTAATGTGTTCTTTCGTCTTCTTCTTCTTCTTTAGCCTTGATGATTCCATATGAGGGCTTGTCTTGTCTTCCGCTTAACCGTTAGATTAAAATCACTTTATACCTTTCTTATTATAAAATCAACTCTTTCTCATTGTATCATATCCTTATATGTGATCATAATATTAGAGTAACTGCTTCTATGATTTGTTCATCTTGTTGTACTAATGAAGTACGGCAACTTGGTTTGATGCATATAAGTGTCTAGTCTTACGTTGTAGCTGACTGACTGGTTGAATTAAGAAAGTTTCTCACAATGCGTACAGTTGTTCAGATGCTCATAAAATTCGAAAGCATGTAATTAAATATCCAAAAAACTAATTTCAATCTGCGTGTGCATGTTTTCAACACTCATTTATCATGATGTTGAAGCTATCCATTAAACTTAATTAATAAAAGGCCACTGAAATATCAATCGTACAGCAGTTAACATTTCCATTTCGTACAAGAGGTATAGTTAAGCTTGATTGTCATACAATATTGTGCGAAATAGCAATATTACATGTCATAAGATTGATATTTAAGTGGATTTTTATTAATTAATTTGAAATTGATTATTTAGAGTGGTTCAGTGTTTCATCAACAGATTATAGTGGATTAGTGAGTAGTTAATGTTGATAAGTTTTAAACTAGAATGAAACAGTTGTTTATTGCTTCAGAGGTATCATAGATGGTGTAAGTCTACTACAAAAAGCAGTATAGGATTTGGAAACATTCACTAAAACTCACTGACAGCAAAATGAAATCAAAAGCCTCCATGTGGCGCTAAGGGTTACTGGGAGAAACCCTGCTATTTAATCTGGGTAGTCAACGGAGATCGCACTAATCCACCTCTCCTATGCCGAAAATGGATTATTTGTTGTGTAAACCTTGAGGCTTTTAAATCTTGCTGGCTGTTCATTATGTATGCTTATGTGTATGAATTGCATTAGTCTCAGCTCGTGTAGGTGTGTATGCAGGTATATGAAAAGGGTACTTGTAGGGTTCGCAAAAGGAACGTAAACTGGAAATGTCTGCCCTATGTCCAGTAGAATCAGCGGTCTAAGTCAACAGGTGGAAGACATAACAAAGATTGATATGGTATCAAATACTAGGGAGAGGTGACCATCAGCTAACCCTGTTAGTGCTTGTGCTTTTGTGTGTATCATGAAGTGCAAGGGTGAAAGTTGTAGTGCCGGTGATTCCCATGTGATACGTGAGATGCGGTTATTAGCAAAGGAAGTAGTGACCACCTACCCTCCCAGTTTAATTAATACACCTGTGTGGATGATATTGGATACATGAATAAAAGCGTATGTGTTACCTGTACACCATACTTGTCCCTGATATGACGCCAGCGAGTTAAGACCTCAGTGATAACAATTTGTCCAAGAAATCACATTCAAGCGGTGGGTTTGTGAGTCTTAAAAAACGAAAATCATTTTCAGAGAAGCCAGTAGGCTGCACCAGATAACGCTTGACCAACCCTAAACTGCTGGGACACCAATACTCATCAATCTATCTTTTATATTGTTAAACTACATTTTTGAAAATACAATTGATTGCTTATTGGGTACAGATCAATATTATGTTCGTCTAGTTTTTAGTGTTAGTCGAGTTCGTTCGATCAAATTGCATTGTGACCACTGGTTTAAGAACCAGATAAACATGACATTAGTCATTGCTCGGTGTTTAATCAATTATCAATATATCAGTTCAACAGGTGGGTAATTGAGGTCAGAATAGTTCCGTGGTAACGTTTCTGACTCTGAATATATGTGATGCATGTTATAATCCGATATAATTCATCGATCCTTTCGAGACCAGGGATACACTTTGAGAATGAGTACTGACTTGTGTGAGATCTAGTTTCAGAATTTCTTGTCGTTTACCTTCAGTCACCCCAGAGGAAACATTGATTTTTCATTTTGCACTCTGCTTGTTATGTTACATGAACGATATTGTATAAGCTTATAGAGAAAGGAACTATTTCTTCTAATATTCTTTATAAGTATGTAAATACCATTTTAACTATAATGTAGTATCTTAATGTTGCTATGGCAAGTATAACGTTCTCTATATATCTTTTTATTTTACAAAACTTAAAATCATTAAAAAAATTATTCATTAAAGATCAGGCACAGGGCTACTTATAAACCAAACGATTTAAGTAGAATGTTTACATCGTTCTAAATAGGGTTGATGAACATACTTTACCATTTTATGCATAAACTTTCTACACAACCTAGGATAGATGCTAATTTAAACAAGTATAAAGGTAATAAGACACCAGTTTACTTAAAAAGAATTAGATATAAACTCACTAAACTAGTGAGCGGCCTATGCTCCTCGACGAGGGGTAACAGGCGTAATTAAAGTAAGTCACTAAGTTTTGAAATGAACTATTTAAAAATCTGTGTGTTGAAATTGTGGTGGTCGATTTTCGATATTATTCCTAAACTTCGTATATTGTTCGTCCTGATAACCGTTACTCGATAACGCCCCAACGGTGTATAAATCAGAAGGCGAATACGAAGTGTTGATTTCGTTTGTTGTTGACCCACACACAGATATCCAATATTACAGGCACGTTAAGCAAGCATGAAAGAGTGAGCGCGCGAGTCGAATGAGCGAACGAAAGATTGATTGATTGAGTCAGCGAGTAAGCGAGTACAGTGGATAAGCAAGTCAATGAACAGGATTAAGATGTACATATATATACAAATGAAAATGCATGAATCATCGAATCAATTAAGCAATCAATGGTAAGGCTAGCAAAATGAATATATGTGTAGGCAGTAAACAATGCTCAAGTGTACATAATAAAGGTACAATAGTATAGATAGTTTGTTACTGTACGAATGACTGTCCGTTAAATAAGTTAACAAAAGGGCTTAGCCAAATTAGATATGAACAAACTCAATTGTATGTGAGCTGCTATAAATTAAAGTTAACACAATAAATGATATTATCATTTTCACAAGTTAAGACATTTAAAGTTCATATAATCTCATTTGTGGAGTAAGATGCACTTACGGGCGCTAGAACATTTAATTCATTTTCAGAGGACCAGTATGCATCAATGCAGCGAACAAACAATGGGAGAGATTTTATCGTACGGATAGATTGTTGTAGATCATTCCAGAGTCTAGAAAACTTACAGGTAATGTAATTCAGATGGAGAGATGATTTAGAATCTATTTGTTTTGCTAGTGACAAACAGTTACGAATGTCGTAATTTGAAGTTTCTGCTTATTGAATTGCTTGGTTGGATGTAAAGAATAGTTTATTAAGTATTTTGAAGAATAAGATAAGATTTAGTTTGAGTCTGCTCTTCCATAAATGGTCAAGCCCGAGTTTATTAAATCTGGAATTATAAATCAAGATACAATCAATTCCAAGAATACAAAGTGTAAATCGTCTCTGTACTGATTTCAGTCTTAATTTATCTTTTATGCAACCAGTTTAAGTACATAGTCCACTGATTTGATATTCTACCCTCAATAAACTATCTTATACATTTTATCAAACGTATCTCAATACCGACTTTATTATTATATTATCTCATTACCATAAAATAAATACTTTTGATGTTGGTTAAACAGTATAAAAATTTTGTTGAATTTTTTTTTTCAAATTTTTTTTGGGCGGAAAAGGGTGGGGGTGGGGGAAAATAAGGTTTTATCAAATAGAAAAAAAGCACAATAACTAAAAAAAAATTATTCCCTCGAAAAATTAACATAAATTTTTCAAAAAAAAAATTTCTTTTGTCGCTTCATAATACTTTGTAGTTTAATGAATGATTATAGTCAAGAAAAAAAAAATTAAAAAAAAAGATAAATCATAAATTACTTTTATGTTTGTATAAAAATTACATTTTTTTTTTCTAAAAATTTATGGTTGCATACAATCTGTTCAAACTTATGCATTAGTTTCCTTTTTTTTCTATGGTACCAACAAAAAAAGGGGAAATAGTTATTTAACATGAAAAAGTATATATATATATACATATATATAAAAGGGAGGGGGAAAATCATTGATGTGAAAAATTAAATGAAATAACAAAAAAAAAACAATTTGATTGATTTTTTTTCTCTCTTATTTTTTGCATAAATTATGCAAAACTTAAAAATCATAAGGGTTTTTTGTAGATATTATAGTAATACGCACTGCTGAGGAGTCCAACAATAAGACGAAGCAGTCATTCACTGCTTCCAAGTTATTCATGATGGTCTAGCTTTGATTGGTTCATGAATTCAACTAGTAAAATAAAAAAAATCCGTTTCTTTGTTTGTTTGTTTTTTCACTTGAGATCTGATAAAAGAAAAAAAACCGAAAAAAAAATTTAAGTTTAGTGAATGGTTGAATACTAAAATGTGTTGTAGAGTTCAATGTTAATCAGATTCTATGTATGGAGTTACAATGTTATAACTACTTAAGGCAATACAATATTTAGATAATAATATTTTATAATTTAGATTTTGAAATTTATTTGATGTACCTTATCAGTCAGAAAAAAAGGAGAAAATGTAATTCTTAGTAATTATCAGTAATAGGAAACTGTACTGGGATAACTTATTGTTAACGTTTTGAATTTCACTGTGATTGGTGTGAGATTTATTGTTGCTAATAATATCATTTGAATTTAGGTTGCCAGAATTTCTCGTTGATGATTGTCAATCGGCATAAAGTCTAGTGTTATGTTGGTCACCTTTTTGACAATATGTCATCAAGACACTATAAAGTTTTTATTAGCTTAAACATTTATAATAACTAATCGATTAAAATATTTCCGAGGGTAATACCACAAAGTTATGCAGTAGGACATTTTGCAAAGTGTAGACTTTGAGACGTTTATTGATTAATTCTAACTCTTGATCTGTCTGATGACTGGCCATCTCTATTTCTTCGATTTTTGGTGGAGTGACATCTATCCTTCTTTGTCGTTGGCTTGTCTCTCTGCTTTACAATATTTCCCTGGTAGTTTCTTCGTTATATCATACAGTTGTTTCATATTTTCTTCTCTTGAAGGTTTTTTCGCTGTCGTTGCCAGTTTTACCACATTATCCTGCTTGTTAGCTCTAACGCACATTTTCACTTGCCTGTTTGCTTCTGTATAATCAGATTGAGTCTCGACTTTCTCTGTTCCAGTTTGACTGTTTTTAATTACTGTTTTTTATGTTTTTCCTTTCTTGAATCCTTTCCGGGGTTTCGATGGGGATCGATTCCTCATGATGATGACACGTTAAAATTAGTGCTTCTTTGATCCCTTTCAAACTGTCCTCCATCGTAGTTTCTTCCTCATTGAGTAGATCCTGTAAGGCTTGGAACCTGTTGTTTGAGAGTTATCTTGAATTCGTTTTTTTTTACTATCTCAAAGGAAGGTTGTATTGAACCTTTGTAATTCTGTTTGTCCAGTTGCCAGTGCTTCTTTTATCTTCAGTTTCATCTTGGCAACAACCAGGTAGAAGATGATCTGAAGCTATTTCAGCTACTCTCCTAGTTCTTACATCTTTCATTGACCTTATGAAATTCTTACCAATACAAATATTTGATCTTTCTAATTCTCCATGAAGTAATCCATTTAGACCCATATAGCTTTGTGTATGTGTATGTGTATGGAAATATTTTTACAGCCTATAACCAATTTGTTGAATACATATATTTTTTTTCCGGAATATGTTTTTAATAATTTTGTAAATTATGACAATGACAATCCTTCATCTATTCTTTGTTCACTTCACTAACTTTCTCTCTCCAACTAAATATATTGAATAAAGCATTTATTTGATACATCTATACATATTCCATTATACTACTCTTTTCTATTGATTATAAGTAATTACTGTTATTTATGCATGTTTTTTTGACATGGTCTACTACTATTATTATTATCATCTTCATCATCTTAACATACTTATTTTATAATCCATTATAGTGAATTTACATTTTATATCATAAGTCTATGCATTATTTAAGTAGTTCCGTTCGTTTGTTTTTTTTTCATTTCTCATTATATCATTATCATTAATATAATTACTGTAATTCAATAATATTAATAATAATAGTAATAATAATAATAGTAATATTTTTCAAAATTGAAATCATGAGTCGATTGAAGCGAGACCACCATGGAAAACTTGGAAGCACTGTACGGTCAACTCGTCCTATTATGAGACTCCTCATCAGTGCGCATCCACGATCCCGCACTCGCAAGATTCGAACCCAGGAACTACCAGTCTCAAGCCAGAGCCAGACATTACCACCGTGTGATACCGGCTCAGTGGTCTATCGGTTAAGGACTCTGGCTCGAGACTGGTAGATCCTGGGTTCGAATCTCACGAGGTGGGATCGTGGACGCGCACTGTTAAGGAGTCCCATAATAGGACGAAACGCCTGTCCAGTGCTTCCAGGTTTCCCATAATGGTCTAGCTTCAATCGACTCATGATTTCAACTTTGAAAAATACTGAAATCTTCACAAAACCCCTTCTGATAATAATAGTAATGATAATTACTGAATAAATTCGTAATCATTTCCATTATTATTATTATTATTATTATTATTATTATTATTATTACTAATCATAATGTAGTGAACGAATAATTGATGGATAAAAGTAATTACTTTTGACTTCATATCTTCATCAAAAATATGAAAATCATACATTAACTACATGATTTGTACATCACTCTTCATTTAGTTGTCCTTTACATGTTTCATGATTCTTTCACTACTGTTGTTATTCCATTCGCTCTCTGTTACCCTTTACTGTTCTCTTCCTAAATCAATCTTTTGCTAACAGGCATTTAAATTCTGATTAATGCTACATACTAATTATTATTTATCAGCTTAAGTAGCATACACCGAAAATAGAAATGATTACCAGAATATAGTATAAGCCAGTAAATAATAATAATACTACTACTATAATTAATTATGATAATAATTTGTTTCACTCCAAAATCGTTTGACATCCGGTAATTTTTGTAGCCTGTAATTAAATAAAATTAATTTATCGACTCACTGGTAATTCTATAGGTTACTGACGAGTGCCAACTAACACTAAACTTGGAACTTGAATTTCTTCATATATTACTTACGCCTTTTACCCCTCGTCAAGGAGCATAGGCCGCTCACCAGTATTCTCCATCCAACTCTGTCCTCAGCCTTGCTTTCCAGTTCTTTCCAGTTGTTGTTCATCCTTTTCATATCGGCTTCTATTTTCCGGCGTTATGTGTTCTTTGGCCTTCCTCTTTTCCGCTCCCCTTCCGGATTCCAAGTTAGGGATTGAGTCGTGATGCACATTGGTGATTTCCTTAATGTATGTCCGATCCACTTCCAACGTCTTTTCCTAATTTCCTCTTCAGCTGGAAGCTGGTTTGTCCTCTCCCATAAAACGCTGTTGCTGATAGTATCCGGCCAATGGATGTTGAGTATTTTGCGTAGACAACTGTTTATAAATACTTGTACCTTCCTGATGATGGCCGTAGTAGTTCTCCACGTTTCAGCTCCATACAGTAGGACTGTATATATATATATATATATATATATATATATATATATAAGCTTTTATTATAATCGTCTCTTCAGTCTTCTAGTAAGTTCCAGTTGTACGCTTAAGTGTATAAATGGCTGACAAAAACATTATCACTTAAAATTACTACATGAAAAAGGATGAAACTATAATTTATAGATGCAACACTAAATTGACCTTCAGGAAATTAATCTACTTACTAGGGTCAAAAAAGGGTTATAGATTGATGTAAGGTATCAAGACTAGAAATAAGAGTTAGAAGTTGGGTTTGAAAATTAAGGTTAAAGTTTTTATCATGAACTGACATCAGCTATAATGATAAAATACTATTTATTCATATGGATGAATGAATACTGAGCCAAAATTCAAGGCTTACTATCTTTAATTTCATTGTTACTTCCATAACTTATAGTATGGCCAGACGATTTTCTATTGTTACTGATTAGTTGAATTACTAATTATTATATACATCTGATAAATATGATTATAAATGGTTCTCATTTGTCAGTTTACATTGACCGTTTTGCAGACATTATTTAAACACAAAATAACTCACAAATTGTTTACAATAATGACAATATTCTATAATACACTCCATACAACAAGAGCATCATATTTACAATTGAAGAACATTTGGAACTCAAAACAATTATCAACTAATACCAAGATCAGAATTTTCAATACAAATGTTAAGACGATTCTACTGTATGGGTCGGAGACGTGGAGAACTACGAAAGCCATTATCCAGAAGATACAGGTGCTTATTAACAGTTGTCTACGCGAGATACTTTGGATCCGTTCACCAGACACTATCAGCAACACTCTACTGTGGGAGTGAACAAACCAGATTTCAGCGGAGGAAGAGATTAGGAAGAAGCGCTGAAAGTGGATAGGATACACATTGAAGAAAGCACCCAAGTGCGTCACAAGGCAAGTCCTCACATGGAATCCTGAAGGTCAAAGGTGAAGTGGAAGACCAACGAGCACATTACGTCGAGAAATGAAGACAGACATAAGAAAAATGAACAAAAATAAAATAAAACTAGAAAGGAAGGCCGAGGACAGATTGGGTTGGAGAATGCTGATCGGCGGCCTATGCTCCATTGAGAGTAACAGGCGTAAATAATAGTCATAATAATAACACTCCATACAAATCCAATTTGCATACATTTTATTGCCACAATTTTAAGCATCATATCACTTCAGTTATACTTCAGCTAGATATATTTATTTAATCGTTTCGATTTTATATATTCTATATTACAGATGGCAAGTGAATAGTGAAGTACGAACAGATTTTCAAACAACTCAACAATTAACCGACTATGAAGATGATGATTCCACAAGAAATAGACCAATTTCTGATGTGTTACCTTTGAAAGTTTTCAACAATTATTTTTCTCTTGGTGCAGATGCTGCAACAGCATTACAATTTCATGAATCAAGAGGTATGTTTTCTCTTCAGAAATCAATAAAATCATGATATTAGGTAAAATATATTTTCATTATTTTGAATTTTTTGATAATAGTTATGAATAAAATCTTGAATTAATGGGTTATCTTATTTTGTCATCATGGAATACCTGCATCCCGATGTTGCTAACCCCAATGAAACTTAAGTTTATTACCTATAACCTCAAACTTCAAAGCCTTATTCTTTTAAACTATTGAATATACATAGAAATTAGTTTGTTTGACTGGTATGGTGTGTCCTACAATGTTCAAAAATCGTTTACAGGGGCGGCCAAAGTAAAACATGGTATCAGTGTTTAAAGTCACTAACTTTCAGTCTGAGCCATGTTTTTCAACAAAATTCACATGGAGTCAGTTCCGTTAATATTGCTAATAAGTCTTGCGCACGAGTACCAGCTAGCGTGAATGATAGATCTGGGTTTTTCCGTCAACTATATCCAGTCACCCAACATTTCAAAACATTACACGAGATAATAAATATATTTTTCGTTATATTCCAATGAGTAGAAAAATTGTATTTCTGACGTCTCGTGATCTGATGTAGGCCATCTCTTAAGAGTAAATAAATAAGTGAACTAACACCAAGGTACGACAGAACAATTACAATGGATATTGAAAACGTACAAAGTGAAAGCTTTCTACAAGATAGCTAACACTCTAAGAAATGCTTTAGTTAGAATAAAAGATAATACCCCGTTCACTTCTACACAGACTTGTGTCTACATATTAAGTTGTTTCTATTGTGACGCGTACAAAATCGGAGAGTCTTCCCAAAATATCTCAATTAGTGCCGAGGAAAATGTAAGTTACACTGAAAGATCTGATAATCCTGTAGAATTGGAAAATTTACAGAATAAATTGACAATAGTTGTACATGCTATTTTCAACAATTACCAAATTGATATTAAAAATATCAAGACAATTCATAAAAGCTTTTCCAACCACGAAGAGAGGCGAGTAGACGAGGCGTTCCACATAATACTAAATCCTTCTGCCCTTAATAGGAATAGAAGGCTTGAATATTCATCCAATCTGAACTGTTTACCCAAACAACCGCATTTGACGCTATTTATTTTCTTTACAATCTACAAACATACACTCAATTTCAACCCCACTACAAGTGCTTTTATTTTTCATAATCATATTTCGACGCACAAATTAATACAGTGATAGGTCATACAAACTCACCTTGACCAAGAATAACTTGACATTGACATATTCAGTTCTACTATGATTTCGATTGTACTAAAAATATTCCGCATTGTTTTCTTTGCGATGTTTAAACTTGTGTTGATTCAGTTGTTTATTTACTCTGAAGAAGTGGTTTACATCATGTCACGAAACCTCAGAAATACAATTTTTCTACGCAATGCCTAATTTATTCAAAACTATTAAGTCCAACCTTGGCATCTAATCTTACATAGTTTACGAGATGTCGAGTCACTCATACAAGTGGTCACATCTGGATTCGATTAGTAGAATTAGATAAGATTTAGGAACTGTGCGAACATCACTTTGATGAATATTCATCGCTCAATCAATATTAAAGTTTAAACAATAGATTGCTAAGAACTAAATAAATCAGTAGTCTGGTGACAATCCCTGTTGTAACTTTATAAAAGGCCGTTGCCCATTTGTTATGAATATAAAATAAGAAGGCTGTATCCAATTCGTTATGATTTTATGCCCGGCATTTTACCACGTGATTTATCCACCAATCGGGATACGGCTAGTCTAATCTTAGCACTGTGCCAAGTCAATGACGTTCGACCAGTACGAGCAGTCTAGCGTCCTTATTGGTCCCTTGTCCGCCTAGGCCTTCCAATTGAGTTCAGAACACCAATTACATCTTCCGTTATGCGAATCATTTATTTCAAGCATACTCGGTTTATATACCAGATAGACAGACCTCAACACACCATAAAATAGAAAATAATATTTGTACAAAATCAAGCCAAATGTGGCTGTGAACGTGGGAGACGGTAATCAATAGACTGAGTATAATTTAGGGACAGTAAATCGTATTATAATAATCCATAGATGAATGTAGATATACACGATCTAGTTACCCAATAGTTAAACAATAACAATATATATAGAATAATCGTCGATTAATAGGTCTCGGAAGTTACCCGTACTTATTTCTTCACTAGGACATAACACTCCCTGGTATTTTGATCCCAATTAATCAAATTCAACTCGCTTGATACGCTTTCCAACGATAACAAGACACTTAAACTTATGAACTTATTTCAGCTTCTATTCAACATTTAACATAAATGTAAAAAAAAACCACCAATATCAAGGTTAAATCTCCTTAATATATCATATTAAGCATTTTCCAAGACTGGTTAAACTATCACATTAACTGACAAATAATATTTAAATCATTAAATATGAACCAATTATATTGTCTATAAATAAACAATAAACGGAAACAAATTATAATTTTAAGCAAAGATGGATAGTGGCTAGAAGTGGAATCCAGGATGCGCGTTTCGTCCTATTTGTGACTGGTTAGCTGGATGTATCTGCATCTCAGAGTTGATATTCACTCTGGGACCCGAACCCAGTATCTTTTACTTCAAATACCATTGCGTTATCCACTCGGCCACTGAGTCCTGATAGCCACCTGCTTGTGCGATGGGGTGAAATTTAATTTAAGTCTATATCGAGGCAATACACACAATATGCACATATGCCAATAAGAGACTGACCAGTTGCAGTCCTAACACATCAATGGGAAGATTCAAACAAGCAATACTAAATGGAATTATAATTTTGTTAAAATTAAAGAAGGATACACATGAAATATCACACTCTATCATCCAAAATAATAAAAAACAAAAAAATTTGTTTCCTAAATTGATCTTCATTTCAATTTATACTTGGATACAATTTATGAACTATAACATTAGACAAAAAATTGTAATTTTTTTTTTATTTTTAAAAAAAATCATAAGAGAGGAAGATCGTTTTAGAAGGAACATTTTTAGTACATCAATATAATATTTAAAGACTGTAGAGAAGAGGAATTTCTGAATGAACTGAGTTTCTTTTCAAGAAAAATAATAATAATAAATGAAAGATACGATGAATGTTGTATGTGCTGAAAAAGAACTCTACCTATATCTCCTCCATGGGCTACTACCGGTCTCAAGCCCGGATAAAAGAGGAGGGTTCGACATGGGGTTAGTGACCCCATCCCATAGAAAACTAACTAGCTAAAAAAACACTAACCAGTTAAATTATACTGAGAAAGAGAAAACATAAATTATGTTTGATTAGTAAATGAAACAATTGTCTGATGATAATGAAATTCCTTTTTAAAAAGAATTAACTATCTTTGAAAATTCTAAGCAAAGATGGATAGTTGCTAGAGCGTTTCGTCCACAGTAACTAAGTGGATAACTCAATGATAAAGCCAGAACAAGAAATTAGCACCCTATAGTCTGAAAGATAGTATCGAATTTGTACAAAAACGTGATAATATAAATGCTTCTGATAAATTCATGGTCTCATTTGACGTCTCATCGCTTTTCACAAATATTCCCTTGGATAAAATGGAAGAGATTATATGTGAATATTCTGAACTTTTACCTTTACCAATCCATGAATTCAAACAGCTCCTATTTATGTGCTTAAAGAACATACGATTCAAATTCAAAAATGTGTTTTACTGTTAAATTAATGGAGTAGCCATTGGTAGCACTCTGGGTCCAATTCTGGCCGACATATTTATGACAAACCCTGAACAAAAGAAGCTTAAGCGTGCAATCGATGGTACCACACTTTACTGTAGATACATTGATGACAATTTTCTTGTTTGCAACAATCACAAGCGCTCCATGAATCTACTAAGTTTGTTTAATAAATAACACAAGGATATGGAATTTACCATGGAACATGAAGTTGAAAGTAAATTCCATTTCCTAGATATTAGAAATAGACGAACTTCAGTTGGTACATTACAAAGAAACATTCATCGCAAAAATACCTGTTTTTACTGCATTAGTATTTGTTCTGACCTTATTTAAAAGCATAAGAGGAACTAATTGTTGTTTGTTTGAATCTTCCCATTGATGCTTAGGACTGCAACTGGTCAGTCTCTTATCGACCATATGTACATACTGTGCGTATTGCCTCAATATAACATTAATTCACAAGCACTATGAGCAAAGATGGATAGTGACTAACAGTAAAATCCAGGACGCGCGTTTCGTCCTATTTAGGACTTGTTAGCTGGAAGTACCTGCATCTCAGATTTGATGTTCACTCTGAGACTCGAACCCAGTACCTTTCGCTTCAAACGCCATGACGTTATCCACTCATCTACTGAGTCCTGATAGCCACTTGCTTGTTCGTTTATTCACATAAAAATACGTGATAGATAAAGTGTTCTCAGTATTAGTGCTTTTAATCAAAAAGTGGTTTTGCAGATATTATAGTAATCTAATATTTGAACTCATGAGTTAATTAAAGCTAGACCATCATGAAGTTAATAACAGAATTACGTCTGTTTTTGGTTATGATTTGGCGCCATTTTTGATTAATAGAGTTTTATAAAACTAATTGACTTAAAATAGTTTGGAAACATTTGAGTATATTTTTGTATTACCAATTTAAAATCTACCGGTAAAGACATTAACTAGTAGTTGAATTCATGAGTTATTTGAGGCTAGACCACCATGAAAAACGTGGATTTACTGAACGGTCGTTTTGTCCAAGTATTGAACTTCTCAATAGTGAGCATCAGCGATCTCGCTCACAAGATTCGAACCAAGAAGTTAAGCGTTCGCATGCGAAACTGACAGGTCCTGGGTTCGAATCCTGCAAGCAGAACCGTGGATGTGCACTGCTGATGAGACTCATACTAGGACGAAACGACCGTTCAGTAAATCCACGTTTTTCATGGTGGTCTAGCCTCAAATAACTCATGAATTCAACTACTAGTTAATGTCTTTACCGGTAGATT